CTTTATCAATCGTGTTGTGATCATGTTAACGCCGGGACTAAGTCATTTGGGATTTAAGTTTGGTACTTAAATGAGAGGTCAAAGGTCAATGTCCGGTGTAATGTATTGTTGGTCTCGTTACCTTCCTGTAAGACAAGAGCCATCTTATAACTGAACCATTTGTGATAATTAATGCCATCAAAATCACCTGTACCTATTGTACTCCATTAAACTTTAGTGGATTGTATCAATATCACTAAACTTTTAAATTATATTGTTTGGCAAAATCTAAAAGTGTCTAAAAAGTATATCTGTTGACCTCTTATGGTACAAAACAATAATGTATAATGTTAAACGCCATAGTGTAATTTGTCTTATAGAATATTAATTGAATTTTAGTGAGCAGCAAGATGATAAGCTCTATATGTATGATAAACAGTTATAAAAAAATGCTTCATAATGTCATGGTCAATTTTTGGTACATCAATTAGACATTGTTCCTTTCTACAGAACAGCTAAATCAGAATAAATTGATCTTCAATCATCCTTAGTTGATGTCAGATGTAAATGTCTTTTTCCCTGTATATGGAATGGCTCTGTAGTTTTTGCAGCACACAAGGGGCGCAGATGGCCAAAACCAGACGCCATAGTATAGCTGTAAAGTGTTCAATGTGGTATATGTAGATCTGTACAGTGGTTTTCACATTGGTACTCTCAACCACTCATCTGAGTAGGGAATGGCCTTCAGTGGCCTGAGGGAACCAAAAAATCTCTCCAAGTTGATGTCACGTCACACTGGTGGGAATTCATAAGTCATATGTAATTGTGGATTTTGTAGTCTTCCTGGGAAAACTCCAGACAACCAGTTTCCTTCCGAGGGGAGCTATAACATTTCTGTCCCAAAATTGGAGAGGATTCTGCCACAATGGCAGCTGTGTTATAACAGACATATGTAGCTGTCGGGGGATACTCATATCTCTGGTTGATGTCGCAATGGCGAGCTATCTTGGAGAAGATGCTTTTCCTCTCCAACTCTTTACAACACAGTTGGTGTATAAGGTTGCCATCTTCAGTGACTGGAACACAACATATTTAATCGCACTTCGGACAAAAATGTCCAAAAACCATTGGTTTAGAGCTGTCACGTGGTGACCCTCTTATTTTCTATAGAGGGTCAGTAGCGATAGGATTCCATTATAGGGCAATATGGCCACCCATTGCTCACCGCTTCAAAACTAAAACAACAGATACGGGTACCTGAATATTCTAAAAGTGATTTGTTATGCATTACATCATTTTCTTTTTAAGCAAAAAGGGTCCTCGATGCGATAAATTCGTTATATAGTCAGTTACTGACCCTCTATGGTTCTGTAGAGGGTCAGTAACTGACTTTATAACTAATAGTAGGGGGTCATTTATATCATACAACTTGTAGAATAACTCGGAGTCACAATCTCACGTAAACTGAATTACAACATTGGTGGAAGCCGCTATACGATTAATTCAGCCACAGTTACATGCACATGCAAACAATACAGGGTACAACTACACAGTTACTCTGAATAGGTCTCAAACTATCCTGTACAACACATATTATAAGCTATTCAAAAATAACACTTTGCTTTTAATCAATATTTCATTATTTCCCTAATTTGTTCAATATGTAATAGGGTTTGTTATACCTTTTCACCCAGTTTTCTCCTACAAAATAATAATAATAAAAAATCATCGATAATTTTCCTGAGATAGAAATGCCCATACTATCCATTGTTTAACCTACAATAAGATACTAAAGTAGCTATAACATTGATGAGGAAAGGAGAAACACAGTAGTCATTACATAGATAAGGTTTACAGTAGTTGTTCCACAGATAATGTGTCTGCTATGGAGATACTGTTGGTCTGGATAGAAAGGGTAGATTAGAGGCCTGGTGTGGAACTACCGTAATTATTGTTATAGGCAGAGCCTCAGAAATAGGAGGCTTAGATGATTAAGATTATCTAATTGCTGTTGTTCTGGATAGAGATCGGGTAGATTAGGCCCCTGGTGTGGAACTATCGTAATTAATGTAATAGGCAGAGCCTCAGAAATCTAATGACTGAAAAAACTACTTATCTGTCAGTATTATATTGATTTTACCTGTATAGTCATAGGTATTAAACTGACACTGATACGAGTCAAGAATAAAGGTAACGAAAGAACAACCTGTTATCAAAATCCACCTTTAATCCAGTATACATGGGTTCAATGTTTTCATGACAGAAATTTGGAAAACTTGGAATAAATGAACATTCTGCTGATCTAGGATTTTTATTATGATAATGAACTATACTTTCCATACAGATTATACCAAAGATATACACAGACAATTCATGATAGTGTTTGTTGTTAGTGTATTTTATCACTAATTGACGGGAGTGTTATGTGATAAAACCAAAACTGACCCCTGAGTATATAGATGAAAGTGGCAACACCACACACATAAAAGTCAATGTTTTACAATGCTGTTCTGAAGTAAACACTCAAGCTTTATACATTAGGTAGTCAGTAGGGACATAACACTAGTCACAAATACTTAATGAACAGTCATAATTATTTTATCAGGTTTCTTTACTTATAATGGAAATACATCGCATTGTGAACATGTTAACGACTGGGACTAAGTCGTTTGGGATATAAGTTTGGTACTTAAATGAGAGGTAGAAGGTCAATGTCCGGTGTTATGTATTGATATCTTCAGCCTCGATCCTTACCTGTCCAGGTATGGTACAAGTCTCTCACCTGTCCAGGTATGGTGTTGGTCTCGTTACCTTCCTGTAAGGCAAGAGCCATCTTATAACTGAACCATTTGTTATGATGCCATCAAAATCACCTGTACCTGATGTACTCCATTAAACTTAAGTGGATTGTATCAATATCACCGACAATTTTATTACCCAAATGATCAGGTCCATTTTTATTATGATATATGTACAGGAACTCATTGGATTTTCTCTGTATACATGTATCAAGACTTGCCTGCTTCTGATATATCCCAGTTGTTGTCTTGGTACAAAGTTTTTTGCCGATGTACATGAAAATAAGCGTTTTCATTGAAAATGAGATATCATGTTTTAAATGTCCTTAAGACACCAAAGAAATGATTTAGAAATATTTGATAGTACTGGTATGATATTAGTTGTTCTTAATAAACACCTATTTACCAGTACCAATATTAATACCTTTACAAAACAATTTCATAAAATTGTATGTCACAAGTTTTCCATTTTGTGTAGAAAAAATTCAACACTGCCGTTACATTGTTAAGGTTTCTTGATAGGATTAAATTGGTATCCTTTACTCATTAAAGTTAAATACCTGATTGATGCCAGATTGAGAAACAGAAGTGATTATACACTGTTATTTGTCTTGTTACTATAGACTACGTACTCTAAAGTTGATCCTGTGATTTCTTTATCACAAGGCTGCATTTGTTGATTCCTTGATTGCAATATACAGTCAAACTTCGAAGTGTCAAAAACTTTACTGGACTATCGGGAAAAATTCCAAACATTGAGACTTTGACTCATGAATGCTGAAAATACTGCTCAAAACTGAATGTGATCGTTCACTGGTGGAACACAAGGCAAACAAGTCAATTTACATTGGTTTAATATTACAATTGGAAAAGTATGTTTCATGTACATGTATTTATACACTGTAGCTGCGTGTTTGGGTGTTAATATGACCCGCGACATGTTAATGTTGTCGCACAGGTAATTGTTTTACTTTTATTTATTAGTTGTAATTTTCAACGTTTTCCTAATAATGGAACCTTGATTGTAGTTCCAAACAGCGAGAAATATTTGACTCATCGAAGTTTGATTCATAAATGGAATATCAGTAGATTTGTATTAGGAAAAAATTCAGAAATTTGAATTTACGAAATTCAATTTATAGAAGTGTGACTGTAACAGAACCATGCTGTTGATCCTGTGATATCCATATCACGGAGCTATACTGTGGATCCTCTGTATTATTATTGGGTGTTATCATGTCCACAAAGATAAATTATATAAACAATGCAATACAACAACTAGTCAGGAGGAATGTTTGTATAGAAGGATAGCTTAGTGTATTTAAGGGGAAGACTGACTTCTATTGTCATTAAAATGAAGACAACTATTTGAAAGGATCATATCGCCACAATTTGGTGGATTCCTGCAGGCTATCATTAAGTGGGAAGAAAAAATCGGTGAATTAGGATTGACTAACCTGATTTCGGAATCGTGGGATTCCCAGAAATCCTAGAAAACGGGAGCAATTGATTTTCTACAGATTGTATGCTGGGCTGTAGAATTTACAAATTGCTGGATGATGGAATGGGGGTTGTCTGTTGCTCTTCCTTTGTTCTACAGTGGCTAATAATTAGAATAAGGAACCTGATATTTGCGTGATGTTTCACTTCTTTTTGTAGTTTAAGGCATGTTAGTCTGTCTCATATCCCAATTCATGTGTGTCAAATTCCAGCCCTTTCAAGGTCAATGAAACAGACAACAGGATTTCATTTGCTTTGCTGTGAGGTCTTTGGGTACAATGATAATACTTGTCTGTTGGAATGAATAAATAATAATCGCTTCTATGGGGATATTTCTGATCAGATCTGGAGGTATTATGGGGGTATGCTGGTAGTTTAGTTCGCTATATATGTAGTTATGGAATGGTTTTGCTGCTATTAAGATATCCTACTGGCTGTTGCTATTGTTCAAAATGTTATACCGCCTGGCAGGGTATAAATCAAGAATACCTTGTCATTTAAACAAAATTTATTGAGTTTAATTAGGCACCAAAGATAGTGTTTTGTTGGCATCATTTTGATCGCTACATGCCAGCATGTTTACAGTTTAATTTTATTTATTTGACAGTTGTTAATCCCTAACAACAAATAATCGTTGCTGGGAGTTGTCCCAGGTTAACGAGACTCCATTGATAGTGTTGTATACGACTGAACTAACCCCAGCCTCTCTTTATGTCTCCCCAGGTTCTCCAGAGGGATATTGAGTCTCACTCCAGGAATGTCAATGCGGTGCTGAAGCTGAGTGAGCACCTGCAGGATGAAGCTGCGGTTGAACGGGTGTTGGACCACAACCGTCTGTACCTGGAGCGCAGCGCCAACACACTCCAGCAACGATGGCACTCCGCTTGGCTCCTCTCTCTAGAGGCCCAATGTAGACTGGAAAATGAGTTGAAAACAAAAAAGGTTAGCACCTCTCTCAGCTCAGTCTCTAGACTCCATCAATGTATATATACTATATTTCAACTTCTGTAAAGTTACATTTCCTTTCCTGTTGTGATTTGTGATTGAATGATCCACAAATCAAAACCTCATATTCTCCAAATTTCTTTCACACGCTAAACAAAGTTATGTTTGAACACAAAAGTGTGATTTTTATCAAAATAGAACCCAAACATTAAATCTGACAAGAACCAAGAAAATGTAACTCCTTTATATCTTTTCCTGTACCTGATTACTTCCCCTTTTCACTTTCAACCCTGTCTTAAATGTTTTCAGACATCTAGATAAACCTAGAGGGGAATATTTCTGCACATTTGTTATTACTGGATTTACTGGTCCATGTAGTTATCATATATCATGCTTGGTTCCAAATTGGTGTCATATACCGTTATAAACATCCAGTTTATCATAATGTTCTCATTTAAAATGTTTGATATTGTCAAATTAAAGTAGTTCTAAGTTTTTATACACTGGATAAGCACAGAGAAATTGTTTGATTTACATTTTTCAGTCCTAAATTGTAATGCATCACAAAAATAACCCACTTTACATTAGGAGTGCTCTAAGGTCAAAAGTGGCAATGTCTGCTAGGAAAATTGAGCACTAAACTCTCTCTGGCACCATTTATTTATAGAAAGACACAAACGGAGTTAGATAACTACAGAGAGGAGGCGTATATGTAATTACTTAGACCAATTTCATCCCAAGGAAAATGTTCTGAAAAGCTGCAACCCGGAAACCCTGTCTCCTAAAGAAATAGACAATATATGTCTTCCGAACTGTGTACGTACTACTGTACTGAAGTAGGTCTGCTCGACCTAAATACATTAGGCAGTTCTATTTCCATGCCAATGCCTTTGGGATCTATACACAAGTTGTTCCTCCATTGTTTCTGTTAGATGGGAAACTCATTATAGAACTCTAGATTTGGACCAGCTATAACTATAAAGGAAACAAGGAAAATTTATTATATATGTGATAAATATAATCCTAGGGGCCCTGGTTGAAAAGAAAAAGAAGAGGAGTGTTAGATTGGACATCGAGAATATTCCTGAATTTGACTGTACATGTATATACAATGTAGGTTTAACCAGAGATGACACTCATTCATAAAGTCTGTTGAACAGTTCATTAAGCATCGAACTGTGTTGATATGGCATTTACAGTCTATATGAATGACACAGCTTTGCAGGCAAACATAATGCATGCTAGCACATCATGCTTTGAAAGTGTCATTCATATAGACTGTAAATGACATATCATCACAATTCAATGCTTAATGAACTGTTCAACAGATTTTATGAATGAGTGTCATTTCTGGTTAAACCTACATTGTATATATTTACCGTTTTTTGAGTACTTTTACTTCAATTTCATAGAAATTAAAATCTGCTTGATAAAATTCAGTACATATGTATTTACCTTAGTCCAAATAGGTAGTTTTCCTGGTGAATAGTTCTTTAGGTGGGAGTTTCAATAAGTAATGTAACAAATTATTTATGAGAGCTGAAGTTAAATAAGTGCTTTCCCTCATAAATAATGCTACTGATATCAATGTTAATCAATACATCAAGTCCAGAAAGGAACTGAAAATATGTAATGGTGATTTTCAATAAAATATTGCAATGATAATCCTGCTAGTACAGTAACACTTGAAACAATCCATGACTTTACAGTCAATGTTTCCAATTAGCTTAATAGACTTTTGCTAAAAACATTTTATCAAATCTTATTACTAGATATTACTTGAAAACTATACTTATTTATAACAAAAGTGTTATCAGGATATTGACTTCATTTCATAGTATATCAATTATAGTATCCACAGGTATTGATAGAATTACAGAGGTCATCCAAGGACACGCAGGTGAATGGGAGATCATTCTAGGAATATCAAATCTCCATAAACGTTATCCCTGGTTGACCACAACACTTTATGGCGTGTTCGGCCCTACTCAGGTCACGTGACTTGTCTTTGATCGTAGAATAGTCAATAGTATTGGTCATGTGACCTGTCTTTGATCAACAAGTGTAACAGTTTTTTGTGATTGTCGATATAGATATGGGTTGTTGATGCTCAAAGTCAATATATTTATTACAGGTCAGAGATCACTGACCAAGAATACTGTAAACAGATTCATAGAAATTGTTTTGGGACGAAATGTTGTTCAGTAATTTATGATGCCAACTTTTATTACTGAAGTAGCATTATCTGATTTTATAATTAAATTAAGGTTAATGCCATGCTTTAAAAGTGGGTCGTTGTGTAATCACACTGGTTTGGGATGTTACAGTGGAATGACACTATCAAATTAACTAATATCATTTAAAATCAGTAGGTGACAGGGATTGTTGTAGTAGAAGGAAGTTTAAATATGCTGAACATTTTTGAAAATTAATATATTTTTGAAAAAGGATTGTATCATATTCGAGTTTGATCTTTCGAGTGAGAACTGTAGATAGCTAAAAAATGTTTGTATGACATTGATGTCCTCACTACTACTTTGATTGAAATGGAGCTAAATATAAAACCTTACCAAAGTCAGTGAAGCAGAAAATATAGGTCACAGTGACCTGCATTTATAATATTAGTGTAGTACTTCTCAAGGAGTATCTACATATGAAGTTGGATGACTGTGTGACTTTTAGAATTAGAGTTATGGAGCTGAACGTAAAGTCTGACCAAAGTTAATAAAGTCGCAGTATAGATCACAATGGCCGTCACATGATAGTGTAGTACTCCCTAAGATTTTGAAGACAACTTGTAGTATCAGAGAAATGAAGCTTAACACAAAGTTTACACATAACACAAAATTTAATGTGGTAGGGACATACAAAGAGGAGTATCGCATATATAAATACACAAAAAATAATGTGGTAGGGACATACAAAGAGGAGTATCGCATATATAAATACACAAAATTTAATGTGGTAGGGACATACAAAGAGGAGTATCGCATATATAAATACACAAAATTTAATGTGGTAGGGACATACAAAGAGGAGTATCGCATATATAA